AATCATTCTGTGATTAGACACGACCAGTCTAATCACACAACTACAACTGCCACCATTCTAATTCAATCCACAATTACCTTCTACATGGTCTTCAAAAGAACTTGTATTAGCTTTCTAAATAATCTTTGCTTCATTACCTCATTCAATCCATTTTCCATAGAGGAGATAAAATTATGTTCTCTAAAATTTAATTCAGATTATCTATTTCTTTTCTAAAATTATGTCATAAAACCAAATTGAATTGCCAGTTATGAGTGGCCAGCAAAGCATCCATGCTATAGCTCCTCACTACCTATCTTAATTTTATGTCCTTCCACTCCTTCCTTATTTACTATATTATCCATAGTAACACTGACTTTCTTTGCATATCTCAAGCTCTTTGTCACCTCCCCACCTCCATTCTTACTCTACCTCTAAATTTGAGGCTTCAGATTAAATATCATCTCCAGAAAGAAAAAGTCATTTTGGTGGAGACCACATGTGAATTGACTCTTCCCTTCTTTATAGTCTTTTTCTTAGTTTATTGTTCCTTTCAGCATTGTCAATCTGACACTATATGTCGATTCTTCTTTTAATCTCCTGGTTCTCCTGCCAAATTTTAAGCTATGTTAAAGCAGACACTTGTCCATGGTATTATTCTTCCTTACGTATTTAAAATCTGGAATATCATGGCACTAAATAGGAATTGAATGAATATGAATTTAAGAATTTTGAAAGTTGATTTTTTTGGATATAAGGGCAATTGAAAGTTACTTTGCAATTCTGACCAGGATGAAATAAGAAATAAGGCAATGTCCCTAACTAAGAACTAAGAAAGCATAGCAAGAGGAAGCCTGGGCCATAGGCGTGAAGGCAATAAGGAGGAGACAGAGAGTAATGATGAGCTATTTTTTAGTATTCAATTAAGGATATCATCTATATAAAAATCTTCTGATTAGCTCTTCCCAATACAAATAAAATAACCAACATTAAAAATTAATATTTAAATTTATACATGTCTGGAAGCATTTGAGAATGACTTTAAAGTATTTTAAATTGAGAAAAATATATCCAAATTTTATATAATAAAGCAGAGGTCACTTCCCAATTGAATAAAATGATCTTCAATTACTCTTCAGTTCCTTTCCTTGTCTTAGAGAAACACTATATATCACCTAAGAGACAGCTCATTATGACCCCATCTAAGGAATTGTGTGTGTTAAAATGACATAATTGTTAATCCTTCTCCCACAAATTATATTTCAGAAAATGTAAATTGATTTTATTAAAGAACATATATGTAAAGTGCAAAAAGTAAAAAATTCTAAAACTCTGTTAATGAAAATTAGTAGCCTCTTGCTCCAGTCCTCATCCATCATAACTCCT